TGATAATGGGAGCCCTTTGATTGAACTTTGTATAGAAAGGGGTTTAGTTATAGGTAATACATATTTTAAGAAAAAGAGGATAAATAAGTATACAAGATATGATGTAGGCGAAATGACAGTAGTTTGGTGGATTATGTATTGTAGATAAAAGAGTGTTGAGTAGACTTCAGGATGTACATGTTTACAGAGGGGCCACAGATATATCAGATCACTTTCTAGTTGTAGCTACACTGAGAGTAAAAGGTAGATGGGATACAAGGAGAATAGAAGCATCAGGGAAGAGAGAGGTGAGGTTTATAAACTAAAAGAGGAGGCAGTTAGGGTAAGATATAAACAGCTATTGGAGGATAGATGGGCTAATGAGAGCATAGGCAATGGGGTCGAAGAGGTATGGGGTAGGTTTAAAATGTAGTGTTAGAGTGTTCAGCAAAAGTTTGTGGTTACAGGAAAGTGGGTGCGGGAGGGAAGAGGAGCGATTGGTGGAATGATGATGTAAAGAGAGTAGTAAGGGAGAAAAAGTTAGCATATGAGAAGTTTTTACAAAGTAGAAGTGATTCAAGGAGGGAAGAGTATATGGAGAAAAAGAGAGAGGTTAAGAGAGTGGTGAAGCAATGTAAAAAGAGAGCAAATGAGAGAGTGGGTGAGATGTTATCAACAAATTTTGTTGAAAATAAGAAAAAGTTTTGGAGTGAGATTAACAAGTTAAGAAAGCCTAGAGAACAAATGGATTTGTCAGTTAAAAATAGGAGAGGAGAGTTATTAAATGGAGAGTTAGAGGTATTGGGAAGATGGAGGGAATATTTTGAGGAATTGTTAAATGTTGATGAAGATAGGGAAGCTGTGATTTCGTGTATAGGACAAGGAGGAATAACATCTTGTAGGAGTGAGGAAAAGCCAGTTATGAGTGTGGGGGAAGTTCGTGAGGCAGTAGGTAAAATGAAAGGGGGTAAGGCAGCCGGGATTGATGGGATAAAGATAGAAATGTTAAAAGCAGGTGGGATATAGTTTTGGAGTGGTTGGTGCAATTATTTAATAAATGTATGGAAGAGGATAAGGTACCTAGGATTGGCAGAGAGCATGCATAGTTCCTTTGTATAAAGGCAAAGGGGATAAAAGAGAGTGCAAAAATTATAGGGGGATAAGTCTGCTGAGTATACCTGGTAAAGTGTATGGTAGAGTTATTATTGAAAGAATTAAGAGTAAGACGGAGAATAGGGTAGCAGATGAACAAGGAGGCTTTAGGAAAGGTAGGGGGTGTGTGGACCAGGTGTTTACAGTGAAACATATAAGTGAACAGTATTTAGATAAGGCTAAAGAGGTCTTTGTGGCATTTATGGATTTGGAAAAGGCGTATGACAGGGTGGATAGGGGGGCAATGTGGCAGATGTTGCAAGTGTATGGTGTAGGAGGTAGGTTACTGAAAGCAGTGAAGAGTTTTTACGAGGATAGTGAGGCTCAAGTTAGAGTATGTTCCTTAGGAAAGAGGGAAATTATTTCCCAGTAAAAGTAGGCCTTAGACGAGGATGTGTGATGTCACCATGGTTGTTTAATATATTTATAGATGGGGTTGTAAGAGAAGTAAATGCGAGGGTCTTGGCAAGAGGCGTGGAGTTAAAAGATAAAGAATCACACACAAAGTGGGAGTTGTCACAGCTGCTCTTTGCTGATGACACTGTGCTCTTGGGAGATTCTGAAGAGAAATTGCAGAGATTGGTGGATGAATTTGGTAGGGTGTGCAAAAGAAGAAAATTAAAGGTGAATACAGGAAAGAGTAAGGTTATGAGGATAACAAAAAGATTAGGTGATGAAAGATTGAATATCAGATTGGAGGGAGAGAGTATGGAGGAGGTGAATGTATTCAGATATTTGGGAGTGGATGTGTCAGCAGATGGGTCTATGAAAGATGAGGTGAATCATAGAATTGATGAGGGGAAAAGAGTGAGTGGTGCACTTAGGAGTCTGTGGAGACAAAGAACTTTGTCCTTGGAGGCAAAGAGGGGAATGTATGAGAGTATAGTTTTACCAACACTCTTATATGGGTGTGAAGCATGGGTGATGAATGTTGCAGCGAGGAGAAGGCTGGAGGCAGTGGAGATGTCATGTCTGAGGGCAATGTGTGGTGTGAATATAATGCAGAGAATTCGTAGTTTGGAAGTTAGGAGGAGGTGCGGGATTACCAAAACTGTTGTCCAGGAAGGGTTGTTGAGGTGGTTCGGACATGTAGAGAGAATGGAGCGAAACAGAATGACTTCAAGAGTGTATCAGTCTGTAGTGGAAGGAAGGCGGGGTAGGGGTCGGCCTAGGAAAGGTTGGAGAGAGGGGGTAAAGGAGGTTTTGTGTGCGAGGGGCTTGGACTTCCAGCAGGCATGCGTGAGCGTGTTTGATAGGAGTGGATGGAGACAAATGGTTTTTAATACTTGACGTGCTGTTGGAGTGTGAGCAAAGTAACATTTATGAAGGGGTTCAGGGAAACCGGCAGGCCGGACTTGAGTCCTGGAGATGGGAAGTACAGTGCCTGCACTCTGAAGGAGGGGTGTTAATGTTGCGGTTTATAAACTGTAGTGTAAAGCACCCTTCTGGCAAGACAGTGATGGAGTGAATGATGGTGAAAGTTTTTCTTTTTCGGGCCACCCTGCCTTGGTGGGAATCGGCCAGTGTGATAATAATAATAATAATATGATAGAGTGGATAGGGGAGCAATGTGGCAGATGTTGCAAGTATATGGAATAGGTGGTAAGTTACTAAATGCTGTAAAGAGTTTTTATGAGGATAGTGAGGCTCAGGTTAGGGTGTGTAGAAGAGAGGGAGACTACTTCTCGGTAAAAGTAGGTCTTAGACAGGGATGTGTAATGTCACCATGGTTGTTTAGTATATTTATAGATGGGGTTGTAAAAGAAGTAAATGCTAGGGTGTTCGGGAGAGGGGTGGGATTAAATTATGGGGAATCAAATTCAAAATGGGAATTAACATAGTTACTTTTTGCTGATGATAATGTGCTTATGGGAGATTCTAAAGAAAAATTGCAAAGGTTTGTGGATGAGTTTGGGAATGTGTGTAATGGTAGAAAGTTGAAAGTGAACATAGAAAAGAGTAAGGTGATGAGAGTATGAAATGATTTAGATAAAGAAAAATTGGATATCAAATTGGGGAGGAGGAGTATGGAAGAAGTAAATGTTTGCAGATATACTTGGGAGTTGACGTGTCGGCGGATGGATTTATGAAGGATGAGGTTAATCATAGAATTGATGAGGGAAAAAAGGTGAGTGGTGCATTGAGGTATATGTGGAGTCAAAAAACGTTATCTATGGAGGCAAAGAAGGGAATGTATGAAAGTATAGTAGTACCAACACTCTTATATGGGTGTGAAGCTTGGGTGGTAAATGCAGCAGCGAGGAGACGGCTGGAGGCAGTGGAGATGTCCTGTCTAAGGGCAATGTGTGGTGTAAATATTATGCAGAAAATTCGGAGTGTGGAAATTAGGAAAAGGTGTGGAGTTAATAAAAGTATTAGTCAGAGGGCAGAAGAGGGGTTATTGAGGTGGTTTGGTCATTTATAGAGAATGGATCAAAGTAGAATGATATGGAAAGCATATAAATCTATAGGGGAAGGAAGGTGAGGTAGGGGTCGTCCTCGAAAGGGTTGGAGAGAGGGGGTAAAGGAGATTTTGTGGGCAAGGGACTTGGACTTCCAGCAAGCGTGCGTGAGCGTGTTAGATAGGAGTGAATGGAGACGAATGGTACTTGGGACCTGACGATCTGTCGGAGTGTGAGCAGGGTAATATTTAGTGAAGGGATTCAGGGAAACCGGTTATTTTCATATAGTCGGACTTTAGTCCTGGAAATGGGAAGTACAATGCCTGCACTTTAAAGGAGGGGTTTGGGATATTGGCAGTTTGGAGGGATATGTTGTGTATCTTTATACGTATATGCTTCTAAACTGTTGTATTCTGAGCACCTCTGCAAAACCAGTGATTATGTGTGAGTGAGGTGAAAGTGTTGAATGATGATGAAAGCATTTTCTTTTTGGGGATTTTGTTTCTTTTTTGGGTCACCCTGCCTCGGTGGGAGACGGCTGACTTGTTGAAAAAAAAAAAAAACATAATAAACAATAATAAATATAATACACAATAATAAACATAATAAACAATATTAATAATATTGAAACATGACATATACTCTAGAATGAATAAAATACATCATTAAGTATGTCGCGAGTGTTGTTGTGTTGGTGTTGTTGGGTGTATAAGAGCCACTGAGACATAAGCCTTATGTAGTGGTGGTAGGGGAAGTAGAGACTAAAGACGGCGGTGTTGTCAGTCACCCTATATAACTCCAACAACATTGGAGGAGTTAGGTTCGTACTGTCCTTTTTCTATAAATTAATCGCTAAACTTACTTGCTACACTTCATCACTGGCTGGCGCTATAGCCTTTATCGATTAGTGTTGCTATAGTATCATACATATTGTAGAATCACTGAAGAAGGCACATTCTCCCCTCTCTCTTCCTCCTCCACTTTGGTACTCTGCTATGAGTTCTTTCTTGAATTCTAGTGTCTTTCTCACCTTCTTTACCAAAGGGCTGGCACTAATACAATATTTTACGATTTTTTCACGTGTTTTATGATTGTTTATGGTTCAATAGGCTAAGGAAGCAGTATTGTTAGGCTAAGTAAATGCTATTATTATATTTCCCTACAATATATTTGGGCACCAAACATTCACCATTTTTCAACATTCGCGAGGTTCTTGATCCCCTAACCCTCGCGAATGTGGAGGGAGACCTGTAGTAATTTAGGCTTATTAAAAATATATTTAATTTAATTTGTACAACCACTAAATGTACTTCTTATTATGGAAAATTCAAACCAATGAAAAAACTGTTTAAGCAAATAATCAGATACAAAAAAAAAAGTCTCTGAAATTTAATAGTTTATCAAGGTAAAACAGGATTTACAAAAGAAAACAACAGTTAAAATAATAGATGTAAATGGTTGTCTCACCTGGACAAGGCATGAGTCCAGTAATCGTCAGATAAGGCCCAGGTGTTGACAAAATATCGCTTCACAGAGTCATACGTGGTAAGATCCCCTAAATTGACGAATGCTGAGCGGTAGACGTTAGGCATGCACCCCTTCCATAACCCCCGAAGACCCCCTGCATTGTAGATTTTTATGAAAGCCTCACCTGCACTATGAATTCTGAAAAAAGTCACTGGTAAATACTTTTTGGCCTTTTACAGAAAACATGTTTAAATAAATGAAAGAATATATAAATGGTTCATGAGCAGCAGTACATTAAAATGACAAAAGAAATAGCTGGTCCAGGGCAAGCATTAATATATTATATATATATAGTATGAGTTGTCCCAGGGCTCAACTTGTTCTTAGTCCCTTTATCCCAAAATCAGTGACATTCTTGAGAGTTAAACCAAAGAATCTTTAATGTAAGTCTCTTATTTCAGGAATTAAAATATCCTGATGGCTTACAATATCACTCAAGAGAAAGTGAAACCGGTGTTCTTACATTATATACATTAGGCATGTAATCAACTGACATTTTACACCCACATCAGATCTAAAATCAGAACATTTTTACACCATTATTATTTTGAAAGATCATTCTTCACCAATCATGTCCTATAAAAAAAAAGGACAACATAAATTTGGAAAGTACAGCATATACATGTTACTGCAAGGAGGAGTCTGAATTAGATAATATGGTAACTGTTTAGAACTGATAACAATTTCATAAAATATCCAGAGTTGCAAGGGTCAAGTCCTGATTAATTTGGAAAAATTGGAATCTGACTTAATATAAAATGAATTTAACTTTTTTTTTAACACATCAGCCATCTCCCACCAAGGCACAGTGACCCCCCCCCCCCAAAAAAAAAAAAAAAAAAAAAAAAAAAAAAAAAAAAACTTTCACCATCATTCGCATATAATCACTGTCTTTGCAGAGGTGCCCAGATACAACAGTTCAGATGTCACTCCAAACAGCCAATATCCCAAACCCCTTCTTTAAAGTGCAGGCATTGTGCTTCCCACCTCCAGGACACTTCAGTGGGACACAGCCAGTTTGTTGAGAGAAGAATTACTTACAATTGTCAATTCATCCAAATATATTTTCAACTATACACTCTCCTTTTAATAAAACAAGTGTTTTCAATATTCTTCAGCAAAACTCTTATCTATATGCAAATCTTATTTAAATCTTACCTAAACCTCTGTACCCTAGTCCATTATCTGGAATCATTAGCTGTTCCTCTTTGTAGAACTTTCATAAAATTATTTCCTTAAAACAATAAATTTTCATAATATAATCAAACATAAACTGCATTAATGCAAACTGTTGTACCATACTTAAAGGCAATATAATACTTCTTATTGGAAATAAAATGAATGTGAATATAAAAATTATAAGAGAACCTTCAACTAACAACAGCAAGTTACACACATCAGTTAGTTACAACATTCAGTATACAGTCTAACCATGTGTGAAATATAAAGACCCTTTGTACTATTGTAATCTATAAAACAATTTGTTCATAAGTTGTACACCTGGACTCGACTTGTTTGTAAACTAGGGCTTCATGTATAATGTTTATTATTATAAAGGTAGGGTATGTAAAAGAAGAAAATTAAAAGTGAATATAGGAAAGAGTAAGGTTATGAGGTTAACAAAAAGATTAGGTGATGAAAGATTGGATATCAGATTGGAGGGAGAGAGTGTGGAGGAGGTGAATGTATTCAGATATTTGGGAGTGGACGTGTCAGCAGATGGGACTATGAAAGATGAGGTGAATCAGAATTAATGTGGGGAAAAGGGTGAGCGGTGCACTTAGGAGTCTGTGGAGACAAAGAACTTTGCATTTGGAAGCAAAGAGAGGAATGTATGAGAGTATAGTTTTACCAACACTCTTATATGGGTGTGAAGCATGGGTGATGAATGTTGCAGCGAGGAGAAGGCTGGAGGCAGTGGAGATGTCATGTCTGAGGGCAATGTGTGGTGTGAATATAATGCAGAGAATTCGTAGTTTGGAAGTTAGGAGGAGGTGTGGGATTGCCAAAATTGTTGTCCAGAGGGCTGAGGAAGGGTTGTTGAGGTGGTTCGGACATGTAGAGAGAATGGAGCGAAAAAGAATGACTTTGAGAGTGCATAAATCTGTAGTGGAGGGAAGGCGGGGTAGGAAAGGCGGCCTAGGAAAGGTTGAAGGGAGGGGGTAAAGGAGGTTTGTGTGCGAGGGGCTTGCACTTCCAGCAGGCATGTGTGAGCGTATTTGATAGGAGTGAATGGAGACAAATGGTTTTTAATACTTGATGTGCTGCTGGAGTGTAAGCAAAGTAACATTTATGAAGGGATTCAGGGAAACTGGCAGGCCACACTTGAGTCCTGGAGATAGGAAGTACAGAGTCTGCGCTCTGAAGGAGGGGTGTTAATGTTGCAGTTTTATAAACTGTAGTGTAAAGCACCCTTCTGGCAAGACAGTGATGGAGTGAATGATGAGTTTTTTTTGGGGGGGCCACCCTGCCTTGGTGGGAATCGGCCGATGTGTTAATAAAAATAGTAATAATAATTATAAAGGAGAGAAATGGAGTGAATACACTGCTTTGTCATGCATCTGTCAACCCCTGAAATGCAGAAACATGAGAATAACATGTCAACTCACCGAGGTGCGTGTCCTTCAAGGCGGCGTTTTCCCTCCATTTGCATTTGAACTTTGATTAAATCTGCCGGAGAGGCCAGGAACTGAGCGATGCCTCCTACCAAGATTCCTCCAACTATTGCTTGCCTTGGAAATAAAAAAAAAAAATGCTCTCATTAGAAAAATACCTAATAAGGTAGCTGGAGATGAAAGTGGAATGAAGAGAAGGAAAATGAGAGGAACAAATACTGGAGAGAAAGGAGCAGAGGAAAGAAGAAAAGAAAGAAAGAGGTAGCTGTGAGCAGGAGGAGCAACCTGGAGGAAGTGGTAGTGTAAGTTGGAGTGGAGGAAAAGGGAGAAACAAGTTGGAGTGAAGGAAGGGAGAAGGGGTATAGATGAAAAAAAAAAAAACAGGAAAAATCGAAGTAATAGATAAAATAACTGAAAACAATATAATTGAATCACATAATTTTTATATTAATTATATATAACCAACATTATGGTGCCAACAGTAGGTAAAGTGGAGAAAAAATAACCTTGTAAAACTAACACCTCTAATCTCAGCTACTGATATGGCATATAAATTCAAAAGCTTCAAGAAAATAGGGTCAAACCTAGCTAACAATATCCAGTACGTGAATCACCACACACTAAGGACTAACTTATGTCTTCCCAATATAGAAACCCAAATGCTACATACCTGTACTAAATTTAAGTCAGTTTGGCTTCAGCACCCACAAAAAAAAGCACAAATGACATCATAAGAAAAATCCTTGACAGTGTATGCATTACTTGAGAATACTGTAATGAATATCCACTTGGGCTACAGTGTACTTTTTAACCTGCAAAACAAATATAATATTGGGTATTACAATATCTATAGTTTTAACAAGGGAGCTTGACTGGGAGAATTATCTGATTGTCATGTTAAATTAAGATATACTTTGAACAGTATGTATTGGTAGAGGGGTAACAGTTACATGTTTCTGGTAGGAGAGGATTTACCGGAAAGGTTTCAGTAGAGGTAACGTCGTTTTATGTTTCCTCCTATGTTAAAGATTTATGTTTTATATGTTAAAGATCACAGGTTGTTTCCTCCTCCTAAGGTGATTTACTGTAGTGGATCCCCATGCACAAATAGCATAGATGATGAAGGGATAGATTAGAGAGTAGTACAGTATAATGTAAGTAGTGCTGTTTGAGGTACATAGTAATGTATCTTGGAGAGGATGTTATCTGATTTGGATACTTTTTTTTTGTAATGTGATGAATGTGGGTATAGAATTTCAAGTTGCAATCTAGGAACAGACCTAGAAATTTTCCTTCATTTTGTTTAGCAATGGAAGAACTGTTAATCATAACATTTACTTTTACATTTGTTGCTCTGTACCCAAACATATAGAAGATCTTGTCAATGTTAACACTTAAACTGTGGGATACCCAGCAAAAAAAAATTTCTCTCCGAGATTATAAAAAAAAAATATTTTCTTACAGTTCAACAGAGTTCATTTTTTCTGAACAGAATAAGACTATTCATACAGGTAACATTTATGAAGAGATTCAGGGAAACCGGCAGGCCGGACTCGAGTCCTGGAGATAGGAAGTACAGTGTCTGCCCTCTGAAGGAGGGGTGTTAATGTTGCAGTTTTATAACTGTAGTGTAAGTGCACCTTTGGCAAGACAATGATGGAGTGAATGATGAAAGTTTTTCTTTTTCAGGCCACCCTGCCTTGGTGGGAAATGGCTGATGTGTTAATAAAAAAAAAAAGACTAAAATGAATGAAATATGATAATAACTTAAGATTTTATGATCACTCATCAGCATCAATATTTACATTTTACAATTTATTGATGCCAAAACATAATTGCATGATTGTTTTTTAATTGCTTTTAATGTTTAGTATTATACACACTAGTTTCTTATGATATTAAGATGTATTTAAAGGTGTTTTAGCACTTCAAACATGGGAAAATGCTTAGCCCAACATTGCTTCAGTTCAAATATATGGTATATATAGAGTATCATTTATTTTTATTCCTTTTTTTTTTTACTCTTGATTTTTTAAGGCTATGTACAAGGAATACTTATAACATTGCAATTGTTTATAGAGTGCATTACTTTTCAAAACATGGAAATAAGTCACACTGATTGACTTGACTGGGTTATACAAACAGAAATAAGTCGCACTGACTTCACTGGGTTATCCTGGGTTAAATATATTCAGTGTGCTGTGTCTGAATTCCATTATTAGTATCATGGAACCAATAAATTTGGAATGCATAAGTCATCTTTGTGAAACTTCCACACCCTGTTTGCTGGAAGGGTGGAGCAACAGCTCTTGGTTCATTGTTTATTTTTGCTAATTAGGTGTACTAGTACATCAGACATAGTCATCACATAAGTAGTTAACCATGATACACTGTGTGGACCCTGATGCTTGTAGATGAATGGTTCAGAGAACCGACACGTTGCTAAATTAGACAACTGTGCAACTCATGGGTATCTTTATTGAGGAAACGTTCTGCCACAGTGGCTTCATCAGTCCATACAAAGAAGAAACATGAAGAACAGGAGGAGAATGAGGTAATCAGTCCCTCAACCTTGAGTCGATATGGTCAGTCCATCAATCTTGAATAGAATACAGCATATGTACGGAGAAGGAGCTTATAAACCGTAGGCAGGAGAGGTGCAGCAGTCGTAGGTGGTGTCACATTTGTTCAATGCGGAAGTAGGTCGTGCCCAAGGGTTAGGCAAGTGAAGAATTCCCAAGTATTAAGATTCCAAGAAGTTGCAGTGTCTGACAGGATTGTAGATGAATGGTTCAGAGAACCGACACGTTGATAAATTAGACAACTGTGCAACTCTTGGGTACCTTTATTGAGGAAACGTTTCGCCACGCAGTGGCAAGTGGCAGATTTGCAGTTATGAAAAATTGTGCCTACTAGTACATCAGACACGGGCAGCATTTGCATACTAGTACATCGGACACAGTTTGAGGGTTAAGTGTGAGTTTACTGGTAATCATCCAGGTTGATATCCATAAGAGTTCTTCATTAACAGTGTTGGCGAGAGAATTTCGATTTGGGCAAGAGATGACAAAAGTTGTGTCGTCAGCAAAGAGAACAGGTCTAAGTTGCTGAGATGCATTTGGAAGATCATTGATGAATATGAGAAAAAACAGAAGGTCAAGGACACTGTCCTGTGGGAAACTTATGTTGACAGGTCAAACTGATGAGACTGTGCCCTTGACAGACACAATGTCTGTTGGAAAGGTAGGACATTTTACATGCTCAAGTCTGAGGTGCGGGATGCTGTGGTCTACTCTATCAAAAGCTTTCCTAAAGGTCAATAACGAGGCCTAGTGGATATTCATTATTTTCAGGAGCTGTATAGAGCTGTATAAATTGCATTATTTGTGCTTTTAATTGGTCTGAAACGAAACTAGCAGGTATTAAATATATTGTGAGATGCTAGAAAGAGTATATCATCTTGTGGATTAATTTTTCAAAAATTTTGGATAAGAATGTAAGTTAGATATTGGTCTATAGTTATTTAGATAAACTGGGTCTCCACACAGCATGCTAGAAAAAACAAGTATGCAGTACTGGAACATTAAGGAGACATTCGCCCACCTTGGAGTTAATAAATATCCTAATACCATATGTGTCTTTCTTACACAAGTGTTGGTGTTAATCACCATTGGTAACCTGAGATATAGCATACCAGACGGGCCTTGTACCATCAGCTCGTGTCGTGAAGAGGCGATCTCGAACTTTCTCATACAGTACCATTCGTGTACCTGAGTATATCAAATGTCTGTAGAAGAAAGAAAAAGTTAATTACTTCATCTGAGGAAAGATAAATAAACCACTGAAAGTATCAGGAATTTCAAAACCTTAGGTCTCTGGGAAATCTTCTCTAAGGTAATGGTTATGATTAACAATAAATAAAATAAATAAATACACACACCCAGGTACATACATTACTTTAACAGCCTTCTCCTGCCAAGGCAAGGTAATCCTGAGAAAACATGTTCACCATAATTCATTCAACTACTATCTTGCCAGAAGTATATTGACATCGTAGTTCAAATGACCCTCTGAAGTTTAACATCTTTAAACCCTCTTTCAGAGTGCAGAAATGTACTTCCCACCTCCAGGACTGAAGTTCAACTAACAAGTTTTTCCTGAATCCCTTCATGAATGTTACCATGCTCACACTCCAACAGCATGTCAATTCACAAAAAACCACTTGCCTTCACTCTTAACAAATGTGCTCTCACACACCTGTTGGATGGTCAAGCCCATAGCACTCAAAATTTCCTTTATTCCTTCCCTATAACTTTTCCTGGAATAACCTCTATCCCTTCTTTCCTCCACCCCAGATTTATGAAAAAACCCTAGATATCCTTTCTGCTCCATCCTCTCAAATTACCCAAACCGCTTTAATCCCCCCATCTTTCTAAGGTCTCTGAAATATACTTTTAGTAGCTACACACCTTATCCTAATTTTCAAACTGTTTAGAGGGACATCTAAATTGCCATATCTGTGTGCCTCTGGCAAGAGAGTGATAGTGTGAATGATGGTACTAAAGTCATTCGACAAATTCCAATCTTAAAGCTGAGTCCAAAATAAACACTATAGGCATTCCAGCCACTAAAGCAACATTTCCTATGATTATTAATCACATCCTCAGGCTTCATATACATTACACTTGCCCTCCATTTTGAATTCATCTGACTGACAGACACAGACACAGACACACAGACACAAAATATCCAAGGTTTACCCTATTTCTTGGATAATAAAATAGAAGCATGAATAATAGGTCATGGTTCTGGACAACCCAATAATTGACAGACCTAGTAAAATCCCATAAAACAGACTCAGGGAAGGAGGGGGTTAGGTGGGACCTTACCAGTCATGAGGAAAATTGTCAAAATCAAATATTTCCACTACTCTGAGCCGTATTTCAAGCTACTGTAATTCTGATCCACAAACTAACCAAAACCACCCCTGTCTCAGTGGTATGTCTTGCATTCTATCAATTAATACCAAGAAGCAGCCAATAAAACCATAAAAAACCATCATAAATAAACTCAAAGTCACTATTTTCAATTAAACACAAAATCAGAGGGTGGCTTTTTCCATCATGCACTGCCTGGGGCAGGACTTCTTTTTTATACCATGCACACTCATTGCACAGACCCAGTGTCTCATGTCTATGATACCCATAGCCGCAGACCTGAAGATGACGAGGATGGCAATTTACAACCTCAAGAAAGCAGCTGTCTCACTCCCACCTGGCACTGCCACCCAGGAAGCTGGCCTCTGGGGCTCCCAAAAAGATTTCTCTTCGCACAGACTAAGATCCTGAAGAGGGAAGTGTTATCAGCTTCCTGGGTGGTACAGTGCCAGGTGGGAGTGAGGCAGCTGCTTTCTTTAGGTTGTAAATTGCCACCTTGTCACCTTCAGGTCTGTGGCTACATGTATCACAGACATGACTTGCTCTAATAGGGTGAGTGCACAGGTCTTCTCTGCAATTGAAAGTTTAGTTCAACCCATTCTGACCACTTGGGGTGGAGATATAGTGAAGCAAAGTTTGTGAAAAAAGGGCACTGAGGAACAACATAGCAGGCCTCCTTCCTCACCGAGCTCTGGCAGAGCACCGATGCGTGACATGGTGAGAAACAATGGAGCAAGATGGGCTCCAGTACACTAAGTCATCACAAGTTCCACCAGCTTTTCCCATGGCGGAAATGCAAGTGAAATGTATGCACCAAAATCTCGTGTACTGATTTTTTTTTGCATTGGAAATGTTTTGATATTTTTTGTGTGCACTGTATGTGAATGACACTGAGTTTTCTTCTATCTTCTTACTAGTTCTTGTTCATTTCTGCTTATCTCCATGAGGAAGTGGAATAGAATTCTTCCTCCGTAAGCCATGAGTGTCATAAGAGGAGACTAAAATGCCGGGAGCAAGGGGCTAGTAACCCCTCCTCCTGTATATATTACTAAATTTAAAAGGAGAAGCTTTTGTTTTTCCTTTTGGGCCACTCTGCCTTGGTTAGATATGGCCGGTTTGTTAAAAGAAGTCTCTTAGGTGTGTGTAAGTATAAATTTAGGAGTTACAATAATACAAGAGAAATGAATATCCTATTAGTTCATGCTATATGGCTTTTATCAAGTTTAACTGATAATGAATTACAGGTTTGATTATGATTATATGTGATGATGATTCTAGCATATTAATATAAAAGAACACAATCAATGTTTTAACCCTTTCAGGGTCCAGACCCAAGATCTGAGACTTATCCACAGGGTCCAAGAATTTAAAAAAAAAAAAAAATTATTTTTTCTTATGAAATGGTAGAGAATCTCTTTCTGAAGGTAATAAAACAAAAAGTGCAAAATTTGATGGAAAACTGATGAAATTATGCTCTTGCAAATTTTGATGTGTCAGTGATATTTACATATCAGCGATTTTGCCGACTTTGAGACCCACTTTAGGCAATTACATTATTCCAGTCGACCAAATTTTTAGCCATTTCGCTAGTATTATTTCTATTTTATCGACTGAGCACAAGAAATCACCGAGTCAAGTTCAACTACCCAATAAAGTGATCAGAAATTGGTAATTTGGTCAATTTATCACACAGTTCAAAATATTATTTCAAAATAGGGTCCAGAATAAACAATGAAGGCATTCCTGGCACTAAACTAACATCTCCTCTGTTCAGTTACGTTTTCAGGCTTTACAAATGAATTCCCTTATGATTTTTTATTCACAATGAATTTTTATTCAAACCAAAAAATGGAAGATTTACTGTTATGCAATATTGTAATAATTGTATAAATAATATCAGTGCATTTGTAAATGCACATAAGACCCAGCAGCTGATGTGTATTGAATGAGTGATGTGATTTGTTTACTCTTGAACATAGGCAAAAATTTTACATTTCTGCTACTTTGAGCTCAGTTTCAAGCCATTTTCATACTAAAACCAATCAAAATCATCTCTATTTCTGTAATATATCTTCCATTCTAACAAATGAGACCAAGAAACAGCAAATACAACTATAAAAACATACGAAAAACACCCCAAAGTTGCTGTTTTAATCCAAAATTACGGTCTCAGTTTTTTTTCTCTCATTATGCACTGTGTACTGCAGGATTTGTTTTATGTGGTGCACACTTACCACATAGATGTATTCTCCAATATCTAGGCCCAAATTTACTGAGTGAGCTGAGCTCATGGCGTAGAACTACAGCATGGACCCTGAAAGGGTTAATAACTGGGAGGATTACAGATATTGAGAATAGGATTATATTGTTTTACATATGTTCGTGACATTGAGAATATGGATATGTGGTTTTCACATATTTAGCTGATGTTGGGATATGTTAGGGAGAGGCATTTTTTAATGGTAGTTTTGAAAATGCTGGCTGAGACAGTGGTTCTAGAAATTTCCAGAGAGGAATTCCAGATTTTAGACCCTTTTATGTACATTAAATTCTTGAAGAGATTTAGCTGGACACGGGGAATATCATTGAGATTTTGGTGCCTAGTATTGTGTCTATGGGTCCTGTTGCAACTATCAAGAAAATGTTTCATGTCAGGATTAATATAAGAATTTACTGTACTGTAAATGTAGGATGCACAGCAGTAAAAGTGAATGTTTTGTACAGAGAATAGGTTAAGGTCTTTGAAGAGGGAGGGGGGGGGGGGTTATCTAGCAGTGGACTACGTGATCATTCGTACTGCAGCTTTTTATTGGGTAATTATTGGCTTAAGTTAAATTGCTGTTGTAGATCCCAGGCACAAATAGCATGGTAAAGAAGTTCAGTTGTTGTTCAGACCAACAATCAGAATGGGGAAGAAATTTGATCGAAGTAATTTTGATCATAGAATGATTGTTGGTGCTAGTCGAGGTGGTTTGAGTACATCAAAAATTGCTGATCTTGAATTTTCACGCACTAGTCTCTCTAGAGATTACAATGAATGGTGTGAAAAACACACATCATCCAGAAAGCGGCAGTTCTGTGGGAAGGAACGGCTTGTTAATGAGAGGTCAGAGGAGAATGGCCAGACTGGTTCAAGCTGACAGGAAGGTATAAATAACTCAAATAACTATGCATTACAACAGTTATGCAGAAGAGCATCTCTGAATTCACAAACACATCGAACCTTGAAATGGAGGGACTACAGTAGCAGACCACACCGGGTTCCACTCCTGTCAGCTATGAACAGGAAGCTGAAGCTACAGTTGGCACAGGCTCACCAAAACTGGGCAGTTGAAGACTGGTCTGATGAATTGCAATTTCTGCTGCAACATGAAGATGGTAGGGTGAGAATTTGGTGTAAACATTTGTGATGTTGTGGACTGGGAAATCTGCATCATGATAGTACAGCTAACAAACCAGCAGCAGCTACATGATGCTATCATGTCAACATGGGCCAAGATCTCTTAACCCTTTGATGGTTTCGGCAGTACTAGTACGGCTTATGACCCAGGGTTTTTGACGTACTAGTACGCCTAAATTCTAGCACCCACAAATCTAGTGGGAGAAAGCTGGTAGGCCTAAATATGAAAGAATGGGTCTATGTGGTCAGTGTGCACAGTATAAAAAAAAATCCTGCAGCACACAGTGCATAATGAGGAAAAAAAAACTTTGACCATTTTTTTGGAATAAAACAGCGACTTTGCACTGTATTTTCGTATGGTATTTATTGTTGTATTCTAGTTTTCTTGGTCTCATTTTATAGAATGGAAGACATATTAGAGAAATTGAGATGATTTTGAATGGTTTTACAATGAAAAGTACCTTGAAACTGAGCTCAAAGTAGCAGAAATGTTCGATTTTTACCAAAGTTCAAAAGTAAACAAATCATGTCAATCGTCCAATACACGTCAACTGGTGAGTCTAATATTCTTTCGCAAGTGTGCCAATATTATTTATACAATTTTTTACACTAATGCAGTATTCTGCATAACAGTAAATCTTCTATTTTTTTGTGAGAATAAAAATTCAAAGTGGAAAGCAAAAGAATGTAAGAGGGGCCTTGAGACGTGACTAATGAACAAAGGAAATGTCATTTTAGTGCCAGGAATGTCTTTCTTGTTTATTCTGGACCCTATTCGGAAATTGGTATCTTTTGAAATTTGTGCGAAATTGGCAAAATTGCTAAATTCTGACCACTGTACTGGATAGTTGAAATTGGTAAATTGGTGGTTTCTTGCACTCATTCGATAGAAAAAATGGAGTTCTAGCGAAATATTCATGTTTTTTGTTGACTAGTACAGTGGAATTGGCCGAAAATGGGGCACAAAGTGGGCAAAATCGCCGATGCGTAAACATCGCCGAGACCACTAACTTCGCGAGAGCATAATTCCGTAAGTTTTAAATCAAATTTCATACTTTTGGTGTCATTATGATCGGGAAAAGATTCTCTATCTTTTCACAAGAAATTTTTTTTTTTTTTTAATTTGGCCAACCCTGAGAACGAGTCTCGGAGAGGGCCTGTCAACCCTCAAAGGGTTAAGGAATGTTTGCAGTACCTTGCTGAATTCATTCCATGAAAAATTCAGGTTGTCCTGTGGCCACTTAGTGTATATACATGAACTTATAACTGATCTTGTCCTAAAGATGAGAGAATTTATATACTGTACTCCATTGTCCTCACCTGTAAACAGCTGGTGTAACTCCCTGCCATAATCTCAGCATGCCCTCTTCACGTATAATACCAACACCAGTACTGGCCAGGCCTCTGTATGGTGAACGCTGTTGGAAAGAAATATACAATTTATAATGTCAGATATAATTAGATAGAGGATAATTGGATAGAGGAGCAATGTGGCAGATGTTGCAAGTACAGTGGACCCCCGCATAACGATCACCTCCGAATGCGACCAATTATGTAAGTGTAATTATGTAAGTGCGTTTGTACGTGTATGTTTGGGGGTCTGAAATGAGCTAATCTACTTCACAATATTCCTTATGGGAACAAATTCGGTCAGTACTGGCACCTGAACATACTTCTGGAGTGAAAAAATATCGTTAACCGGGGGTCCACTGTATATGGAATAGGTTGTAAGTTACTAAATGCTGTAAAGAGGTTTTATGAGGACAGTGAGGCTCAGGTTAGGGTGTGTAGAAGAGAGGGAGACTACTTCCCGGTAAAAATAGATCCTAGACAGGGATGTGTAATGTCACCATGGTTGTTTAATATATTTATAGATGGGGTTGCAAAAGAAGTAAATGCTAGGGTGTTCGGGAGAGGGGTGGGATTAAATTATGGGGAATCAAATTCAAAATGGGAATTGACACAGTTACTCTTTGCTGATGATACTGTGCTTATGGGTGATTCTAAAGAAAAATTGCAAAGGTTAGTGGATGAGTTTGGGAATGCATGTGTAAAGGTTGAAAGTTGAAAGTGAACATAGAAAAGAGTAAGGTGATGAAGGTATCAAATGATTTAGATAAAGAAAAATTGGATATCAAATTGGGGAGGAGAAGTATGGAAGAAGTGAATGTTTTCAGATACTTGGGAGTTGACGTGTCGGTGGATGGATTTATGAAGGATGAGGTTAATCATAGAGTTGATGAAGCAAAAAAGGTGAGTGGTGCGTTGAGGTATATGTGGAGTCAAAAAATGTTATCTATGGAGGCAAAGAAGGGAATGTATGAAAATATAGTAGTACCAACACTCTTATATGGATGTGAAGCTTGGGTGGTAAATGCAGCAGCGAGGAGACGGTTGGAGGCAGTGGAGATGTCCTGTCTAAGGGACATGTGTGGTGTAAATATTATGCAGAAAATTCAGATTGCAGAAATTAGGAAAAGGTGTGGAGTTAATAAAAGTATTAGTCAGAGGGCAGAAGAGGGGTTGTTGAGGTGGTTTGGTCATTTAGAGAGAATGGATCAAAGTAGAATGACATGGAAAGCATATAAATCTATAGGGGAAGGCGGGATAGGGGTCGTCCTCGAAAGGGTTGGAGAGAGGGGGTAAAGGAGGTTTTGTGGGCGAGGGGCTTGGACTTCCAGCAAGCGTGCGTGAGCGTGTTAGATAGGAGTGAATGGAGACGAATGGTACTTGGGACCTGACGATCTGTTGGAGTGTGAGCAGGGTAATATTTAGTGAAGGGATTCAGGGAAACTGGTTATTTTCATATACAGTGGACCCCCGCATAACGATCACCTCTGAATGCGACCAATTATGTAAGTGTATTTATGTAAGTGCGTTTGTACGTGTATGTTTGGGGGTCTGAAATGGACTAATCTACTTCACAATATTTCTTTTGGGAACAAATTCGGTCAGTACTGGCACCTGAACATACTTCTGGAGTGAAAAAATATCGTTAACCGGGGGTCCACTGTAGTCAGACTTGAGTCCTGGAAATGGGAAGTACAATGCCTGCACTTTAAAGGAGGCATTTGGGATATTGGCAGTTTGGAGAGATATGTTGTGGATCTTTATACATATATGCTTCTAAACTGTTGTATTCTGAGCACCTCTGCAAAAACAGTGATAATGTGTGAGTGTGGTGAAAGTGTTGAATGATGATGAAAGTATTTTCTTTTTGGGGATTTTCTTTCTTTTTTTGGGTCACCCTGCCTCGGTGGGAGACGGCCGACTTGTTGAAAAAAAAAAAATATATATATAATTATATAATAATACAACAAATTATTTTTTGTAATAGTAATTATGAACCGAGTCAATAAATAAATCAATCTGGTGGAAAAAACTGGTACAGACCCATCTTTCTCTGTCAGAAATGATCACTATCTTCAGCAATAATCTCGAGTTACAAATTTTGGGAATTCTGGAGCAGCTCAAAATTATTATCAAACCTTAACCCTTTGAGGGTTTCAGCTGTACTAGTACGGCTTACAACCCAGGGTTTTTGACGTACTAGTACGCCTAAATTCTAGTGCCCTCAAATCTAGCTGGAGAAAGCTGGTAGGCCTACATATGAAAGAATGGGTCTATGTGGTTAGTGTGCACAGTATAAAAAAAAATCCTGCAGCACAGTGCATAATGAGAAAAAAAAACTTTGACCATTTTTTTGGAATAAAACAGCGACTTTGCACTGTATTTTCGTATGGTATTTATTGTTGTATTCTAGATAACAAAAAATGGCACAATACCATGACTGGAATGATATTTGACTAATTCGTCCTCCTTATTCCCCACTACTACCACTACCACTACTACTACCTCTACTACTACTACTACTACTACCACCACCACCACCACCTCTTCCTGCCTATATATAGCCGTCCTGCTCCACTTCTGGTTAGTGTGACTTTGTAAATGGTCCAAGTCGGACCGAAACGTCGTAGTAAGCTTCTCTCTTTTATGTGCGGGTTATTTGTGTATTGTATTCTAGTTTTCTTGGTCTCATTTTATAAAATGGAAGACATATTACAGAAACTGAGATGATTTTGAATGGTTTTACAATGAAAAGTACCTTAAAATTGAGCTCAAAGTAGCAGAAATGTTCAATTTTTACCAAAGTTCAAAAGTAAACAAATCATGACAAGCGTTCAATACACGTCAACTGGTGAGTCTAATATTCTTTCGCAAGTGCGCCAATATTATTTATACAATTTTTTACACTAATGCAGTAGTCTGCATAACAGTAAATCTTCTATTTTTCATGAGAATAAAAATTCAAAGTGGAAAGCAAAAGAATGTAAGAAGGGCCTTGAGACGTGACTAATGAACAGAGGAAATGTCATTTTAGTACCAGGAATGTCTTTCTTGTGTATTCTGGACCCTATTCGGAAATTGGCATTTTTTAAAATTTGTGTGAAATTGGCAAAATTGCTAAATTCTGACCACTGTACTGGATAGTTGAAATTGATAAATGGGTGGTTTCTTGCACTCATTCGATAGAAAAAATGGGGTTCTAGCAAAATATTTGTTTTTTGTCGACTAGTACGTACAGTGGAATTGGCCGAAAATGGGGCTCAAAGTGGGCAAAATCGCCGAGACCGCTAACTTCGCGAGAGCATAATTCCGTAAGTTTTCCATCAAATTTCAAACTTTTGGTGTCATTATGATCGGGAAAAGATTCTCTATCTTTTCATAAGAGATTTTTTTTTTTTTTTAAATTTGGCCGACCCTGAGAACGAGTCTCGGAGAGGGCCTGTTGACCCTCAAAGGGTTAATAATGAACTTGTTTGAGTTTCTGGAATCTTTGTTAACCATAATTATTATCCCTTATCTATTAAACCACTATTACAAATGTAAAAATGTATGTTTGTATTATAAATTGTACTATGTTATATTTGAGTAAAATATTGAATATTTGAAATTTGTCTAGAAATCTGTCTAGACTTAAGTAGTCTTTAGTTATTAGTTAAAGTCTGCCTGAAATACCTCGGCATGATAGTGGCTTTCTTTGTACCAATCAAATTATGAATATAAATGCACACTGTAACCTTTCCAAAGAATTAATTTTTTTTTTTTTTTTTTTGTTTATAGTACAGGAGCATCATGATCTATAATACTCCTGATGTATGCAGTGTACATTATACATAGTGCAGGTACTAATACTAATGCTCCATTATTATACAATGACATTATTTTAATTACAGAACTATATTACAGTTTTTGTACAGCTTCATATATCTTCTCTGTACCGTTTATCTTTCCTATATATATATATCCCAAGATAATTATAGTAGGAGACCTAGCCCATGACCTGCCCTATATGAAAATGTTCTCTACTTGTAACATAGAGCTTTCACTGTAATTACTGATATTATATAATCTACATTCTTGTACATAACATTAAGATCTTTCAATGGCAGATTAGTTTTATAATATAAAGACTGAATAAAAATGTCATTAACATACTCTATGGACCACACCAGGGTGATTCCTGACTGCAGTAACTGTCATCACCAAAACATTAAACATTAAATTTGGGTGAGACAAGTTTTATTGTGTAACTTTGAATATTTCCCCTTGAAAAATGACTTATATGCTAGTGATTTATGCAAATTCATCGCCAGACCATTCAAAACTTTGCCACTATAATAAGAGTTTAGTCCATCAAGAAATCATCATCATACATACATAGTTTCCATTCCATGACACGCAGCATTCTATTTTACTGAAAACAATTGCAGATACATATATCATTAAGTGTTTAGAGTACACAGAATAATTATTTTTTTAAATAAAAAATATAGGACTGAAATTAGCTTCTAGAAGTGATCAGCTAGCCATGTTAGTGCACTGGAGCTCTTGCCTCACATTTCTCAACATATTTTATGATGTGATATTCAATTTTTCAAAGGCTGGATTGGAAAGAAAGGTAAACCTCTGTAAAGTGACCAAAAGTTCCCATGTACATGTATTAGGGAGTAACCAGCTGTTGATGTGACTAGGAAGATAATAACTTGCTTAGTCTTAGTTTAAATTAGGGATGGGATGATGCCAAAATTTTTTCAAAAAACTGATAACATCAATATTAGCTGATACTCACTAATAATCATACCATCAAAATTAGCAGATACCACCAACAGTGGTGGCAGCACAGCACTAAGAGTTTTGCTCCTCTATTTTACAAACAGCCTAAGTATCTTAGGGGCCCCATGATGACATCAATGATCTCTCCAACGTATCTCGTCTCCTTGAACCTTTTCTATTTGCAGATGACACAAATTTTGTCAACTCCCACTCAAATCTGACCTTTCTCAACAACAATGTCAATGAGGGGTTCTTAAAAATATCTACATGGATGACTACTCTTAACCCTTTCAGTGACTGTCACAGAACTACATCAATGAGGACAGGGTTCCTCATGTAGTTCCAAGTCATGAGCTCAGCTCACTTAGGTAAGCTGTGAGTGGTAAATTTTGGCTTAGATATGAGAGACTGGGTCTGCCCCCACGCAGTGCATGATGGGAAAAGTAAAACTAACCACGTGTTTGGTTTAATTAAAATAGCTATTTTAAGGTGAATTATAGAATGGTTTTCATGGTTTTATTGGTATTAACAGAATGGAAAATATACTACTGAAACAGAAATGATGTTTGTTGGTTTCAGGACTAGAAGTCACTTGAAACTGGGCTCAAAGTGGAAATATCTGATTTTTGCCTATTTTCCTGAAGCCAGGTAAGGCCCCCTACATCACCCCGGCTTATTTTATAGGGTTTTAATGGGTCTGGTTCCATTGTTGAAATGCTGTAAATCACGGCCAATCATTCCTGGTTATCTACAGGCACTCCTCACTTAATGACCTATCTGTTAAACGACATCTCGGACTCATGACCAGTTCCGGTGGCCTGGTGGCTAAAGCTCCCGCTTCACACACGGAGGGCCCGGGTTCGATTCCCGGTGGGTGGAAACATTTCGACATGTTTCTTTACACCTGTTGTCCTGTTCACCTAGCAGCAAATAGGTACCTGGGTGTTAGTCGACTGGTGTGGGTCGCATCCTGGGGGACAAGATTAAGGACCCCAATGGAAATAAGTTAGACAGTCCTTGATGACGCACTGACTTTCTTGGGTTATCCTGGGTGGCTAACCCTCCGGGGTTAAAAATCTGAACGAAATCTTATCTTATCTTATCTCTCCGGCCAGTCGGCATTGTACATTGTACAAGAACTTTGGTCATAGAAATGGCTGCATGGCATCTCAGTGTCAAGAAATTTCCAACAGTACAAGATAGAGTTGGAAGAGCAGCAGCACATGGAAAAGGAAAAAGAGGAAAGACTAGAAGAAGTACGAAAGAAGTGCTGGTGTATTCATTTGTCTGTTTACATTCTTGGCATCTCTTTTGTTTACAATGGCATCTAAGGGTAATTAAGTTTATTTAGGTACAGATACACATAAATGCAGTTACATAAATTATCATACATAGTAACATATGTGTATATTACCTAGGGTGGAGGCAGTGGAGATGTCCTGTCTAAGGGCAATGTGTGGTGAAAACATTATGCAGAAAATTCGGAATGTGGAAATTAGGAGAAGGTGTGGAGTTAATAAAAGTATTAGTCAGAGGGCTGAAGAGGGTTTGTTGAGGTGGTTTGGTCATTTAGAGAGAATGGATCAAAGTAGAATGACATGGAGAGCGTATAAATCTGTAGGGGAAGGAAGGCAGGGTAGGGGTCGTCCTCGAAAAGGTTGGAGGGAGGGGGTAAAGGAGGTGTTGTGGGCGAGGGGCTTGGACTTCCAGCAAGCGTGCATGAGCGTGTTAGATAGGAGTGAATGGAGACAAATGGTATTTGGGACCTGACGAGCTGTTGGAGTGTGAGCAGGGTAATATTTAGTGAAGGGATTCAGGGAAACCGGTTATTTTATATAACCGGACTCGAGTCCTGGAAATGGGAAGTACAATGCCTGCACTCTAAAGGAGGGGTTTGAGATATTGGCAGTTTGGAGGGAAGAGTATATGGAGAAAAAGAGAGAGGTTAAGAGAGTGGTGAAGCAATGTAAAAAGAGATCAAATGAGAGAGTGGATGAGATGTTATCAACAAATTTTGTTGAAAATAAGAAAAAGTTTTGGAGTGAGATTAACAAGTTAAGGAAGCCTAGAGAACAAATGGATTTGTCAGTTAAAAATAGAAGAGGAGAGTTATTAAATGGAGAGTTAGAGGCATTGGGAAGATGGAGGGAATATTTTGAGGAATTGTTAAATGTTGATGAAGATAGGGAAGCTGTGATTTCGTGTATAGGGCAAGGAGGAATAACATCTTGTAGGAGTGAGGAAGAGCCAGTTGTGAATGTGGGGGAAGTTCGTGAGGTAGTAGTAAAATGAAAGGGGGTAAGGCAGCTGGGATTGATGGGATAAAGATAGAAATGTTAAAAGCAGGTGGGGACATAGTTTTGGAGTGGTTGGTGCAATTATTTAATAAATGTATGGAAGAGGGTAAGGTACCTAGGGATTGGCAGAGAGCATGCATAGTTCCTTTGTATAAAGGCAAAGGGGACAAAAGAGAGTGCAAAAATTATAGGGGGATAAGTCTGTTGAGTATACCTCGTAAAGTGTATGGTAGAGTTATTATTGAAAGAATTAAGAGTAAGACGGAGAATAGGATAGCAGATGAACAAGGAGGCTTTAGGAAAGGTAGGGGGTGTGTGGACCAGGTGTTTACAGTGAAACATATAAGTGAACAGTATTTAGATAAGGCTAAAGAGGTCTTTGTGGCATTTATGGATTTGGAAAAGGCGTATGACAGGGTGGATAGGGGGCAATGTTGCAGATGTTGCAGGTGTATGGTGTGGGAGGTAGGTTACTGAAAGCAGTGAAGAGTTTTTACAAGGATAGTGAGGCTTAAGTTAGAGTATGTAGGAAAAAGGGAAATTATTTCCCAGTAAAAGTAGGCCTTAGACAAGGATGTGTGATGTCACCATGGTTGTTTAATATATTTATAGATGGGGTTGTAAGAGAAGTAAATGCGAGGGTCTTGGCAAAAGGCATGGAGTTAAAAGATAAAGAATCACACATAAAGTGGGAGTTGTCACAGTTGCTCTTTGCTGATGACACTGTGCTCTTGGGAGATTCTGAAGGGAAGTTGCAGAGATTGGTGGATGAATTTGGTAGGGTGTGCAAAAGAAGAAAATTAAAAGTGAATACAGGAAAGAGTAAGGTTATGAGGCTAACAAAAAGATTAGGTGATGAAAGATTGGATATCAGATTGGAGGGAGGAGAGTATGGAGGAGGTGAATGTATTCAGATATTTGGGAAGTGGACGTGTCAGCGGATGGGTCTATGAAAGATGAGGTGAATCATAGAATTGATGAGGAGAAAAGGGTGAGTGGTGCACTTAGGAGTCTGTGGAGACAAAGAAACTTTGTCCTTGGAGGCAAAGAGGGAATGTATGAGAGCATAGCTTTACCAATGCTTTATATGGGTGTGAAGCATGGGTGATGAATGTTGCAGCGAGGAGAAGGCTGGAGGCAGTGGAGATGTCATGTCTGAGGGCAATGTGTGGTGTGAATATAATGCAGAGAATTCGTAGTTTGGAAGTTAGGAGGAGGTGCGGGATTACCAAAAACTGTTGTCCAGAGGGCTGAGGAAGGGTTGTTGAGGTGGTTTGGACATGTAGAGAGAATGGAGCAAAACAGAGTGACTTCAAGAGTGTATCAGTCTGTAGTGGAAGGAAGGCGGGGTAGGGGTCGGCCTAGGAAAGGTTGGAGGGAAAGGGTAAAGGAGGTTTTGTGTGCGAGGGGTTTGGGGACTTCCAGCAGGATGCGTGAGCGTGTTTGATAGGAGTGAATGGAGACAAATGGTTTTTAATACTTGACGTGCTGTTGGAGTGTGAGCAAAGTAACATTTATGAAGGGGTTCAGGGAAACCGGCAGGCTGGCCTTGAGTCCTGGAGATGGGAAGTACAGTGCCTGCACTCTGAAGGAGGGGTGTTAATGTTGCAGTTTAAAAACTGTAGTGTAAAGCACCCTTCTGGCAAGACAGTGATGGAGTGAATGATGGTGAAAGTTTTTCTTTTTCGGGCCACCCTGCCTTGGTGGGAATCGGCCAGTGTGATAATAAAATAATACTTCTAAACTGTTGTATTCTGGGCACCTCTGCAAAAACAGTGATTATGTGTGAGTGAGGTGAAAGTGTTGAATGATGATGAAAGTATTATCTTTTTTGGGATTTTCTTTCTTTTTGGGTCACCCTGTCTCGGTGGGAGACGGCTGACTTGTTGGGAAAAAAAAAAAAAGTCACTCTGACTTTTCATAATGCAATTCGAGTAGTGAATAACACCACTCACCTGAGAACTTCCATTCAGACCTTTCTCTCCCTGGATCTGCAAGCGTGTTTTTGCAAGGTCCAAGGGATAGGTGACTGAAACAAAAATATCCTTTGAATTACTTTTATAACAGAACATTACAAAAATGTTCTTAAATACTAACCATCTTGTAAATCACAACATGACAACTTAAACATGTTACAAGTATTAGGTGGAGAAATGTTGGGAACTTACACAAGAACAATATCCATAATGTGGCTTGACCCCTATGGGTTCAGCATTTCTCCATGAATATAATAACTAATTAATTTTGTTTTCTTCATTTTTTTTTTTTTAATTTTTGGTCATTTTGTTCTCCCTATTAAATGGTTCAAGAAAAATTTCCCTCTCTAGTTTTTACATCTCTTAATCTTTAAAAATTTTTTTTACAAAACCTTCCACATAACAGACTAAAAACTGGGAAGGCGGCAGCCAGTAATGACAATTGCCTTGGGTAGAGAAGAGTTTCTTTTGTCATCATTATATTAATAAAAGGCAATTCTGTAACCAAATGACATCATCCACTGTTTCTAAATCAACTGACCCAGAGGATTTTTGTTTTGCATTTCTGAGGTTCATTACATGGAGGGTTTATTGGGTATGCAAGGTAAAATGTAGATTTGTGCAGAGCACTCAGTTCCACATATGAAAGGTAGCAAGAATTTCCTTTGAGACGTGAGAAAAAAATGACAAAAATATAAACTAAGAGGATATAATAGCTTCCCAGTAGATAAAGACAAGACAACACTACTGTATTTTTTTAATGGTAGGCTTTACAGTTTCACATTATCAAGCTTGGTGTCAAATTGTTTTTGCAAGTGACCATGACATTTTAGTCCTATCATTTCATAATGCAATTTGTTAGGATTAATGGCTGCAAAGTTGTGTTTGATCACAGCAAACCTGGTAACAAGAAAATATTTTGATTAGGTCACAAAAAAAAGAAGTGGTAACCTTCACTTTGATCCTACTAACACAATCTGAAATGTAACATTTTCTATTTTATTTAATTCCTAAAAAACCTGTCCCATGAGTGGCCAAAAATTGTGGTAAACACGAGTAATTTATATTTATGTATCTTATTTTAATCAGGGAGGAAGCGCTAAAACACGTAAGGGTCATACAGCACCAGGAAAATGGGAGGTAATAAGGATCAATTAAAGGAAAGGGAGGGGAGGGTAAGTCCAGTTCCTTGGATCAAGAGCCAGTCACCTGCAGCCAGGCATCTCCACTAAAGAGGACTAAGCTATAACTTGTGAAAATAAACAGATAAGCTCCTAGTGATAAATGATTAACTTTTTTACAAAATATGGTTTACAAGTGATTCAGGAAAAAAAAAAAAAAAGGACATTATTGACATACTTTATAGAAGGCCCCAAGTTATGCAGAGAATTTCAGGCAGCCTCTAAGTTGTAACTGCTATTGCAATATTTTGCGAGAACAATTTGTTGGAAGTTTTAGTAAAACAGTTTGCTATAATGGTTGTGGAAGTTATTACAAATTTTTATTAGAACTGCAGAATAAGTTTTTATTAGGACTACAGGAGCAGCACACAGGTAAGGGAACATACACTTTACATCACCCTGTGAATTGAAGTCTGATAATCTGGAGTCCCAATAAGTTTGTTCTGGAGTTCAAATAAAAGCTTGTTCTGGAGTCCCGATAATAGCTTGTCCTGGAGTCCTGATAAAAGCTTGGCCTGGAGTCTCAATAAAAGTTTGTCCTGGAGTCTCGATAAAAGTTTGCCCTGGAGTCTCGATAAAAGTTTGCCCTGGAGTCTCGATAAAAGTTTGTCCTGGAGTCTCGATAAAAGTTTGTCCTGGAGTCTCGATAAAAGTTTGTCCTGGAGTCTCAATAAAACCTTATTCTGGAGTCTCAATGAAAGCTTGTTCTGAAGGCCCAGTAAAAGCCTGTTCTGGAGTCTTAATAAAAGCTTGTTCTGGAGCAGTATACAGTGGACCCCCGCATAGCGAACGCCTTGCATAGCGAACATTCCGCATAGCGAACGCTTTGATCGCTAAAATTTTGCCCCGCATAGTAGACAAAAACACCGCTCAGCGAACTTCGTCCGAGACGCGTCCAATGTGCGGCCTCAGCCAGCCTCACATGTGCCGCCTGTCCCATTGTTTACCAGCTAGCCTCCGCGGTAACATTCAAGCATACACTCGGAATATTTCGTATTATTACAGTGTTTTCGGTTCTGTTTGTTGAAAATAAGTGACCATGGGCCCCAAGAAAGCTTCTAGTGCCAACCCTGTGGTAAAAAGGGTGAGAATTAGTATGGAAATTAAGAAAGATTTTGAAGGGTTTGGGGCTAACCCTGAGAAGCCTATGCCAGTTGTGGAATCCATTGTGCCTACTTCAAAAATTAAGGAAATGTGTGCACAGTGGGTTGAACTGCAAACCTTTATGGATGAAAATCACCCTGACACAGCTGTTGCAAGGCGTGCTGGTGACTATTTCAATGACAATGTTATGGCCCATTTTAGAAAAAATCGTAAAGGAACGGGAGGTACAGAGCTCTATGGACAGAAAGAAGTCCAGTGACTCTGAAGCTGGTCCTAGTGGCATTAAAAGAAGAAGGGAAGTAACCCCGGAAAAGGACTTGCCTCCTCAAGTGTTAATGGAAGGGGATTCCCCTTCTAAACACTAACACTCTCTCTCCCCTCCTCCCATCCCATCAATCATCACCAGATCTTCAATAAAAGTAAGTGTCATGTAATTGTGCATGCCTTTTTCAGTTTGTGTGTACTAAAATTAACATTTTTTTGTGTTAAAAAAATTTTTTTTTCATACTTTTGGGTGTCTTGCACGGATTAATTTTATTTCCATTATTTCTTATGGGGAAAATTAATTCGCATAGCGAACATTTCGCATAACGACCAGCCCTCTTGCACGGATTAAGTTCGCTATGCGGGGGTCCACTGTACTGTATTTTCTTCACAACTGTCAACAAAACTGTGAGAATCCAATGTTTAATTAAATGATCTGAAAAAATTTAGATTAGAAAATGAAATTTTGATAAAATGCAGATGTCAACTCACCCATCTCGGCAGTGGTGGCTGCGCAGCATGATAAAATATACTTAAACCAGGCAGAGTCAGCGTAGTGTTTGGGGGGTGGAATCACCCCTCGTTGGGCTACCACCATCCTGCAGAAAGTTTAATAATGTTTTAATGCTTACTTTTACAACACTGAAAATTATGTATACTACAGTTAGTTAAATTTTTAAATTGCTGTTTAATTCCCTTATGTTAATACTTTCATGCAAGAAAAAATTAAGGAAATAAATGGTATAAAATACTGACACAATGGAAATATAAACATATGGAAGAACACTGCAGAAGGTCTACTCACAGACTTATCCAATCTCTCTTCAAAGGTACCCAAGGTATTAGACTTTATGACCCTACTCGGTAGATTGTTACATGCAGCTTTCTCTACCAAACCCAGCATTCTCAACCTGACTTCATCCTATACTCACATACCTTCCACCCAGATAGATCTGTCTGTGACTTGATAAAGCCCACTGTGTGGGCAAAACACTGCCAATAAAGGATCACATTGTACTGCTTATGTGTTTATATTTCCAAGATAAAATTAAACAGAGTATAAGGTTTTATTCTACAATGGGATTTCTTAGATTAAAATGAGTTATAGAAAAAACTGGACATGAAGCAAACCATCAAAAAGCAAAACCACATATTCCCAGATGCCAATTTTTAATGTCTTGTACAGCAGAGCCTCAGATAGCTTCCTGGAGGCTGTGTGAATCCTGAAGCCATAGATATTAAGATAGTTTTGCAAGCCTGAGTTATAAATTTTTCATATTTTAGAATTTTTTAAAACTGAAATTTATGTTATAAGGTATCCTAGAAAAAATGCTTATTTTTCAGTCATACAGTAAACCCTTTCATAATGTGTAATGTAAAATAGCTTTATATGAGGTGAACACATGAAGGGAAAATAAAGTCATGTTGCAGGCACCTCCAAATTTGCAAAGCTTCTTCTTTTCTATTATAAAGGTAAAAATTACTACACATATAACTTGCCTTGAATTCTGGTAACCATTTGTTAACATGGAAAAGTGTTTGATGGATTTATGTGGACCTCCTGGGCTGAGATGAATGGCTGATTCTCTTATACATAACAGTGTCAGTTCCCACCACGTGTGCATCACCTCATAGCATATCTAAAACTTCCACTTTCTTTAATATCTTTGTATCACTGACATTCCTTTTAGGTGACACAGTTAATATCCACAGATAAGATGGGATAATGAAAATACTGTACCCTAAATTTTTTGATAAATGCAACATAAAGTGAGTGACTCTCCCAGAAAGTAACTGTAGGTAGCATGGGTGTCAGTGAAAAAGCTAAGGAGCTGCACCTCCATTACTTTCTCCAGCTTAGGTCAGAACAAATTCCACAGCTTATAGTAACCAAATTTTTCATGTAACATGAGGCTATGAAAAACCTTATAAGTGAGTTATTAAAATTTTTAGTTGCATTCTCTTAATTACATTGCAACAAACTAGTGCTATGTCAAGCTGCATTGTAAGAGGATTTGCTCTTTTTAAAATAATTTCTAATTGCATTCAAATTCATTTTCACAAGAAAGTGCACTAAGAAAAAATAAATTTAGGTATGGAACAATTCAATGGGAACATTTTGAATGAAATCCTCCAGTTAGTTTTCAGGGGTTATATGCCAAGCATATATAAAGCAGCCATAGTAAAAATATGAATACTGTAAAGTTATCCACAAACAGCCTTTATTAAAATAGATGTACGTATAATAATCAAATCGCAAGGATTATGAAGCATGCAAATTTTGAGTTTCACTGATATTAGAGATGCATTCTTAAAAAGACAAATTATGCACAGTACAGTACAGGTTAAACAAACCATATATACATTACAAAATTCCTCGGTACTCCAATACAACCATCAACGTCAGTGCAAGAACCTCAACCATCCACCTCAGCTAACACTCCACAACCTTCCACCTCAGGCCAGTAGGGCAACACCATCCCTCTCCACTATCAAAATCATCAATTTACTTTATATAATTTGCATTCACATGTCATTCTCAAGAAAGTAACTACAGTGGATCCCCGCCTTACGATATTATTTCATTCCAGAGGTCTGTTCGGGTGCCGTTATAGACCGAATTTGTTCCCATAAGTAATATTGTGAATTAGATTAGTCCGTTTCAGACCCCCAAAAATACACGTACAAAAGCACTACAAAAATACACTTACATAATTGGTGGAGTTGGGAGCTGATCGTAAGGCGGGGATCCACTGTACTGTGTTATTTGACAATAACAAAAAAAAAAAAAAAAGTCTCAAACTGAACTTAAAGGATACTAACATCTCATTTTCAGAAGTTAATTTGTTACCAGTTCTTGTGAGGAAAGTAGATGTTTCTTCCAGTGCTGAACAATCTTTTGCTCTCTACTGAAGAGGTGGGGAGATAGGGAAAGGGTTGATGAACTCAAGATATTTACTGGCTGGGTTTGCCAGAGATGGAAGAATTATATTTTCACCACTAGTGAATTTCATTCTTGAGGCAATAATGCCATTGCAACATATCTGTGTATTTATGTTTTTATGTTTGTAGTCACATGAACATAAGCACGTTTATTTTTGGATACCGCTTTTTGTGATCAGGAAGAGGATCCTCAGGCAGATGTTGGTGGCATTTTGTTGTGGAGAGTGCTGGCTACAATTTATTCATAATATTTATTTAAATCAAACTTGCCAAGTTCTTCAATCCTTGTTACATCAGCCTTACTTTTTCATGTGTCTCACTGTGCTTGATGCTGCAAGCAAACTAGCTCCACTCTTAGTTCTTCAGTTGCTGATTTCTCCCTTAAGTTTCTTTCAGTTAATTCTTAATATCTGGAGTATATATGGAGGGGGGGCTTTGGGGGTTAACACCCCATAGCCTAGTCCGTGACCCAACGTGTGTAAGTATATTAATGGGAGTGAGTAGAGACAAGTGGTTTTATGACTTAAGGTGCTGTTAGAGTAAAAGCAGGGTAACATTTATGAAGGGATTCAGGGTAACCAGTTAGCAGGAATTGAGTCCTGGAGTTGGAAAGTAGTGCCTGCACCCTGAAGGAGAGGTGGAGATACTGGAGTTTGGAGGGGAATCTGAGCTGTAATGTTGACATGCCTTTTGCCAAGACAAAGAGTGATGGTGAGTTTTTTTTTTTTTTTCATGTCTCCCTACCTCAGTGGGATATGGCTGGTACATTAAAAAAAAATAGAATGTTTTTTTTTGGCTGAAAATCTGACAGCAGTTAGCTGCAGCCCACTCCATGATACTGTCCACTACCACCTGAAACCAGAGACTGGCCACCTCAGGCATCAACACCAAGCAGTGCACTTCATGTTATCTACATACATGGAATGCAGGAATTTAGTATGTCTAGAATCTATGAAAGTCACATAAACAATACCCACTCTAATGCATCTGCAGTTGCACAGGACAATGAATTTGTATGGTACTGTACAATGAAATTTATTACTGAACTCCTGTATGTTTGCAATGTTCTATACAAATACAGGTCTCCCTCACTTTAAGTGGATTCATTTTGAGAATTTGCTATCCAAACCATACCATGGGTGGGGTTAGAACCCGCGTTCAGAGCGTCATAAAACTCCCGACCAACGCTATTATGTGATCTCTTTCAGAAAATAGGTATTTCTGCATATGTTATTTATGGTCACTATTTGGAATTAGCACAGTTTCCAAAGTGCATTAAAGTTTTTTTATGTGTAATTAAGTGTTTATGGCCTAAGAGAGCTTAGTAAAGATGCCAAAAGCCTGGAAGACATTTTACAGTGTATAATAAGGGACTCCTGTATAACAAGGAAGTCAGTGGAAAAATAGTTTCCAAGTTCTGAACAATTGTTACAGTTTTCAAGAATGCATTACAGCTGCAATTGGGGAACCTACCATACTGATGTAGTTATGTAAAAATAAATTTTAAAACTTGTAGGTACAGGAGGGCCCCATTTTACTGCACTTCAGTTTTTGGCGATTCACTAAAAACAGACATTTCAAATTATGAACAAATTCGTTTATATAGCTCCCTGATTCAGTATTACTTCATCCATGCACCACTCTGTTTATATCCTCCGTGAGCTCCACATCTCTCAATTATGTCTAAAACTTTCCAAAATTTCAAGTGTTTTCAAGTTATTGCGTATTTTATATATACGTACTGTACTCTGATAATTAATTGCATTTATGTGTATCTGTACCTAAATAAACTTACAAACTGTGCTGGTATGCAGGTGCACATTAAAATCACTAAGTGTGTCTCACTAGTGTTGAGGATGCAATAATAATAATAATAATAATAATAATAATAATAATAATAATATTTTTTTTATTTTTATTATCACACCGGCCGATTCCCACCAAGGCAGGGTGGCCCGAAAAAGAAAAACTTTCACCATCATTCACTCCATCACTGTCTTGCCAGAAGGGTGCTTTACACTACAGTTTTTAAACTGCAACATTAACACCCCTCCTTCAGAGTGCAGGCACTGTACTTCCCATCTCCAGGACTCAAGTCCGGCCTGCCGGTTTCCCTGAATCCCTTCATAAATGTTACTTTGCTCACAACTCCAACAGCACGTCAAGTATTAAAAACCATTTGTCTCCATTCACTCCTATCAAACACGCTCACGCATGCCTGCTGGAAGTCCAAGCCCCTCGCACCACAAAACCTCCTTTACCCCCTCCCTCCAACCCTTCCTAGGCCGACCCCTACCCCGCCTTCCTTCCACTACAGACTGATACACTCTTGAAGTCATTCTGTTTCGCTCCATTCTCTCTACATGTCCGAACCACCTCAACAACCCTTCCTCAGCCCTCTGGACAACAGTTTTGGTAATTCCGCACCTCCTCCTAACTTCCAAACTACGAATTCTCTGCATTATATTCACACCACACATTGCCCTCAGACATGACATCTCCACTGCCTCCAGTCCTTCTCCTCGCTGCAACATTCATCACCCACGCTTCACACCCATATAAGAGCGTTGGTAAAACTATACTCTCATACATTCCCTCTTTGCCTCCAAGGACAAAGTTCTTTGTCTCCACAGACTCCTAAGTGCACCACTCACTC